AAACTTAGGTCGGCCATTTTGGCCCCGCCCTACCCCCGGGGGTAATGATTTGAACAAACTTGAATCTACACTACCTGAGGATGTTTCCCTATAAGTTTCATCTTTCCTGGCACAGTGGTTCTTGAGAAGAAGATTTTTAAAATATGCCACCAAATTTTCATTAATTCCCAGTTATCTCCCCTTGAATGAGGGTGTGGCCCTTCATTTGAACAAACTTGAATCCCCTTCACCCAAGGATACTTTGTGGCAAGTTTGGTTGAAATTGGCCCAGCGGTTCTTGAGAAGAAGTCGAAAATGTGAAAAGTTTACAGACGGATAGACAGGCGGACAGACAGACGGACGCCGGACAAAATGTGATCAGAAAAGCTCACTTGAGCTTTCAGCTCAGGTGAGCTAAAAATTGTTTATCATCCACATCTCCAACAAGTTCCAAATAGCGCTGGTACATGCTCACCGGACAAGCAGGCGTATCCCCTTTTGATATAAGTACTTCGTTCCCTTGCCGATATTGATCCGTCTTGCTTTTTCTGATGCATATCACTAAATAATTATCACGAATCAGTACGTCGTTGAAACAGTGAGAGCTTAACTCATCAATTCGCAAGAAACCAGCAAAACTAAATAAAATCATTGTGAGGTTTCTAACAATTAACAAATCTGTTGAATCCTGGAACTTAACACACAACTCTATTATACTTCTGGTAATCGGCTCCTTTTTGTTTACAGATTTAGAAACTTTTCTCCTCGCTGCTTCCTGTATTGATAGAACAAATGAATTTTTTGTCGGATCTGTAAAACCCAAACAGTCATGCGCCCACTTGATCCCGTACACAGCCGAATTAACTGGATGTTGCGTTGCGCCATTATCCAAAAGGTGTGTCAAATACAATGCCCGTGAATGGGGTTTGCCGGAAGTGCACTATGTCCATGTGATTTGATGAAGGTCTCCCATCTTTTGAAAGCGTTGAAATAGTTTTTGTTCGTGTTGTCACTGTTACTTGATAATACCAAAACACTCATGTGGCGACAAAGATCGTCTAAATAACTGCCAGGTTTCACTCCACTGTCCAGCGCTACCTTCCGAACTATCCTGCAAACCTATTCCTGAAAAATCAAAATTTAATTCTTAAGAACATCATTATAAACACAAGTCCTTCTTCACCAAACATACCGTTCTTTCCCCTACCTCTACACACAACATCAACATTTTTAAGTTTGGCTATATTTCTTACATACCAAATGAAATTGCCATCCTTACAGACCAACATTGGCCAGAAGGGTGCAGATTTCCACTCTGGTATCATCAAACTCAATTTTTCTTACACATCTTTGTATCAAACAAGGTGGTGGTACAACCCAGTTAACACAATCTGACCATACCTGTTCAAAAGCATCGACTCCGCTTGATTCAGTGCACCGATATTTGGAATTGAATACTTCACACTTACAGTTATATTTAGAAGATATCTGTCACATGTATGCTTACCCCATGCTTCATCAAAATATTCAAACACTCCCTGTTTAATTGGCCAATCATCACAATCATTCATCCTGCTTAGTGTGTCTGCTCTCTTATTAGCAGTTCTAGGCAACCATTTGCAATTCAACTGAATATTCTCCTTCTTAGACAGCCCATGTACAGACATAGCAATGTCCTGTAAACCCTTATTTCTACTTCCTACCTTAAGTATGTGTGGCACATTCTTGTTATCTGAATTTACTTCAACTGAATTGCTCTTGACCAAATCTACAGAATTATCTAAAATTCTCTTCACTGTTTCAAGTTCCCTCCAAGTGGAACTCTGTCTACTTTCACACTAATTCCAAATACCATTATGTACCATTCGTATTCCTTCTGTTCATCCTTTGAACTTAGAGTCAAATGACCTCCATATCCAGAATCTGAAGCATCACAAAATACTTCAATTTGTCTGACATCTTTGTCCCTTACCTTACTCAACGGAGCGCCCTCTTCATTCATGCTTTCCAAATTTCGTAGCCAAAACTGAAATTCCTCTACAGCTTCCTTACTCAACATAATATAAGAATTCCAACTGGATCTTATTAAAATGCAATACATATACCTGGTTCTTAGCCTAACTGCATCCCCAAACACAGTTTGTGTTGAAATGATCTGAGGTGGCAGAGGATAGTTTCGAATAAAGTACCGTCAAAAAATAGAAAAAATAGAGAAACCTGAGGTTTGAATGCATATTATAGGTAATTTTATAGCTAGAATATTTTATGGGTGCATTTGGAGGGAATTGGTGGCCTTGTATATTTTATTGAAATATGACACTTTAGTGTCACTACTACTGTATATGGGATATGGACTAGAAATACGAAACTATGCTCAAAACTCGCTCTACCGGTATTTCACCAGAAAAGCGGGGTGGGTTCATAGGATAAATTGTAGCTTGAAAACGAGGTGGTTGAGCCATTATCTCTTGCTGTTCATTGGTATGTACAAATGTTATTCTGCAATTTGTGTGGTAGCTTAGGTCATGAACACGGGCCTGGAAGCAGTTGCGGCTGCAGTGAAATAGTGAAAATAGGCTTGATTCACATGAAATTTTGAGATTGTCCCTGTGCCATCTTTAGGGCTCATTGTGTAAGTTGTACATATTTTATTCCTAAAAGCTTAAAATTCCTCAAGGGACTACATCATACTATTATTACATGTAGAGGGAATTTAAAATTTTTCAATGCACATTTTAAAAGCAGCTCAATATTAAGTAAACCGTCAGTCAAACGTTTTGATTGCAAAAAAAAAAAACTATCCTCTGCCACCTGACCGACTACTGATGCAATGAATCGTACTTCAAACCATTCGTATCAGGCTTTGATGCCTTCCAAAATATTTTGAACGTTTCCTTTAAGTTTGTTTATCATAGAATTTGATACTGATATTCTGTCACACTTTGTGTCCCAAACCAAACCTAGCCAAATTATTTCTTGAACAGGTTCCCACTGACACTTCTCATCAGCCACTAAAAAACCTAATGCATTTAAATCAGCTTGAATTTTTTTCACTAACAATTCTAGCGTGATCTAAAGTTTCAGCGCCACCTATGCCGTCATCTAAATACATAACGATTTTATAACCCTTCGATCTCCAAAATTTAAGTACTTCTCGCAAAACCTTTGTGAAAATATATCCAGCAGTGCTAATGCCAAATGGCAGAACGTTAAACACATACGAGGGGTGATCAAAAAGTTCGCAAACTAATTGAATAACTTCCATAAAAGAAACAATATTTGGTTTCAATGTTGATTATATTTTAAATTAATCCTCCCCAATTTTAATGCACATCAACCACCGTTCTGCACATGCGTGAATCACGTGATATTGGCGGTCACATGACCCCCTCCGTAGCGTTCTGTCACAGAAGTTGAAAGATTTTTATGAGTTTTATATTTCTTTCAATGTGAGTTAATTTTTATGACAAGAACAGTTCATTTGTCAGAAATGGTCATATCTCGGCAACAGAATGGGTGGATAAGAATATCCTTTCAAAAAATAAGTATGGCGACCATTAAACCCCAACCTTCTCTCTCGGGAGAGACTTTTATTCAAGGTGGATAGAGAATGGGTGCCTCCTTTCTATCATATCTAATTTGTTTAAAATCTAAAGTAAACGATATCTTAGGTATTTAATAATTATATTATTGTTCAAATATTCAACTATTTTCAATGTGCTAATTGGAGGTCTTTGATAGCAACTTGCTTAATTAAAAATACATATCTTTTCAAACTTGCTTTCACTGGGCAAGATGACAAGTATCATTTTTAACCATCTGCCTTCCTTCACTAAAACGATCAATCCAATCATTAATTGAATTTATAGGAACTCATTTATCTCAATAAACTGTGTACAAATTATTATTTGATACTGCAGAGGGATTTCTAAGATATACAATAAATTGTACAGTCGTTTGTTGAACGTGTTAGACTGAGACAACCATTTTGCGTCACAACTGACCTACATAGTGACGTTATTTTCACATTGTGACGTCACAAACAAGGAGAAAAACTTTATTCAGCATATGCTATTTATAGACCTTGTGTATGGCTATGTGTGTACCGAATTTCATTCTCATCTGAATTGTGGTTTTGTAGATATAGAGATAGTTCGCGAACTTTTTGATCACCCCTCGTAGAATTTGTTTTCCCATTTAAAACCCAAATACTCTCTGTCTAACTCATTTATCATAATATGATGATAAGCGCTTTTCAAATCAAATGAAAAAATGTAGTCACCCTCTTGAAAAAGTTCATGTGATGTACTTGCGTCTTCATACTTGTATTTGTATTTAAATAAATGTGGATTGACATGCCTAGCATCTAAAACCAACCTTTGTTTTTGTTTATTACCTGCTACAGTCAATGGATTCACTACTTTAGGTTTGTCCATAACCTGTCGAACACAGCCCTTTTTTACCAACTTTTCTATTTCATTTGATACAAAATTGGCATTTTCCAATGCAGATCTTTTATTCTTAAGTTCTATAGGACTCGGAATTGTAAATAAAGGCAGTTTGTAACCAAATTCAATTACACTTAAGACATACCTGCTCGCTTCAATCGAACGCCATTGACCTACATTTTCTTTCAGTCTACCTACCGGTGAATTATATTCTCCCTCACTTTGTTCGTCCGAATATAAATTAATTCTATTCTAAGTAATAACAAGAAAGACCATTTTAGGAGTGCTACTCGCTATAACCTTTAATCAATTGACAATCAAATTTATGATATCTATTTACACATATACTTCAGTTAACTAAACTTGCATAAATCGGTATTTCAACAGACAATAAATCTTTTTTCCTGAAATTTCATTATTTTTCGTGAATATACGTGTATCGAGGTTATAGCGAGAGTCGATAAAGAATGGGTATGACCGAATGTATTTATAGTTACCTAGTGATCTATGAGTATTTTTAGCAAGTAAACAACGAAAAGAATTTTATTTACCTGTGTTCGTCTCGCATGACTGCTTTGTGTCAAAACATTCAAATACAAAACTACTTATCTTTTCATCTGTTTTTTTCTGTACAATCCTTTCTCCAGTGTCCCTTCTTATGACACCTGTAGCACTGGCCCGATCTCCATACATCGGGCGTAGTAGAGGTTGAAGTACTGCCTCCTGTAGCGTTGATAGAAGGGTAGGGCCTCCACTTCTCTCGCATATCCCTTCGACGTTTGATACGTTCGTCCTTGATTTTTCTCTCTGCCCTCGTTTGCGCCTTGGAAATTCTTTTTTCATCATCTGAGTCCGAAGCTATTTGGTTCTTTACATATTCATCTACAGCTCTCCACCCAGTCGATGACGAATCTGCTAACTTAACTAGTTTTTGTCTCTGTTTAATCAAGTCATAACCTTCTGTTATCTTTTGTCTCACTCCTTGAATGCAGTTGTCTTCCAGTTCTTCGTTTGCCTCCTTCAGCTTTGCCATTACTTTAACATTGTGCTTATACTGTTCTTCATTACCGCGCTTTTTGAATTTATAATTATCTGTGAACACTTGCTCGAACTTTGCTTCTTGCCGCTCGGCGATAATTTTTTGATTTTCATTTATACTTCTCTGCACTGTCGAAAGTCTATTGTCCAAAATACTGGAAAACTGACTCACAATCTCATTGTTGGCCTGTTGAATTGACTGATTTATTTGCTGTTGAACTTCCCCGGCGTCCATAATTAAGCTGTTGCACGCTTAAGTCGGCGGCAAGAAGTGACCAACTTTTAAAAACCAGTTCTCTACTACACCTCAAAATCAATTTCTATTGGTCACTCTCTGACCAATCCACACGACATGCGTATAAACATCTTGTCATTAATACAACATTTTCCCGCTATACTAGCGAAACGCGGAAAAATATCAAGGTCTGGCTTGCACAAACTCATAAAATCATCATTACAGTGTGATAAATATTCCATATGAAAAGGATCTTCTATACACATAATAATAAGAAATCAAATCTTTATATCCATATTGGCATATTTTATTTGTTTCAGTATACATGTATACATGTAATACTTCTACAATAATGGCATAATAATTCAGTCAGGGGGATCCGACTCGATCCCCCCTCCCCCGAACTGCGCATGGTTTACTTTTTTCCCTAAGCGGGGGACACAAATTCTCTGAATTAGCTTGTTATAATTTGAAATGTAAGTAAATGTAATGATAAAGTAATCTTATTTTGAATATTAGATTTCGTTCAAAGTAAAACTAAATTACAAAGAACCTCAAAAGTTTTTCGTAATGGAACTCATTTTTAGTGTAGCGTCATCTATAAACACAATCGCATCATCTCGGGTCTTTCCGTCATAGGTCGAAAAAAACAACCTCGAATGTATTAACATCACCGGATGTTAAAAATTTATACATTTCCTGTTTATTCAAATATAGGATAGACGGAGTTAAAAGTCCCTTCTATAGTATATTTTAGGTAGTACATGTATCATTACATTGAATAAAGATAAACTCCATATTCCACAGACAAAAGGTCTCCGTGCATTTATTTCAAAGATCGTGAAAAGGGAGGGTTGTCATGGCGTCTACCATATACATTCGAGGTCGTCTTTCCGCTTGTCGGAAAGGCCCGAGAAGTTGCGATTGCTATAAACACTGAAAGAGATACGAACGACAACTCTGCTGACGGCAAGCGGTAAATCTAGTCTTCCCGACGCCCGACTCCTGACGGTCCCGGATTATGGATTTTTAGCAATTTCTTCTTTACCGGTGCACAGAATTTATTCAAACTTTTCATGAACATTTCCTTGGTTTAAATGAATTCATTAATGCATAAAAACTTTAGGAAACGTGCGTATTTATTACTAAATCAGCAGTATCACCTGCCAAAAAGCGGTAAATCTAGTACTCTGTTATAAATGTTAAAACCAAAAACGGACACCGATGTTTACGTAGAATCGCGATTAAAATCAACAAAATGAAGTTACTGTATTTTTTTTTTAAATAAAAGGAAAACCTCATTTACATACCAGATAATTAGTACGCACACAAACTCTAACATATACCACTGTTTTTATGTTTGGTCATTAAATAGAACAGTGGGACGGACAACTTCGGAATGGACATTTTTCCGAACTTGCGCACCCTTTTCCTTTAAAGCTATCATCTTAGGGTTTTTTTTAAATGGTGGGGTTTTTATAATCAAATTGATTTATGAAAAAAAAAATTCAACATTTTCTGCTAGTTTTTGAGATATTTGAGTTCAAAAAAAAAATCCCATGGGGAAACATGAACTTAAAAATACCCCACCAAAAACCCCACAAAAACCCCATGGGGTTTATTTTTCACCCCATGGGGGAAATAACCCCACGAAAATCAATGTAGGTTTTTTAAACCCATATGTTGCTTATATTGTCATATGGGGTTTTTTCTCCCACGTTTCTTTATCATGGGGTTTAAAATCCCATGTATTCATATATTTACTGTAAGATAATTCCTAAAAACTTGGTTTTTTTCTTAGACTAATGGATCATTAGTATCTTCTCTGTTTCTCATTTTATGAAAGTGGATAGTTATAACAAATATCTATTATTTTTCAAATTTTCAAGTATTCATTCTTCAAATTTTTGCTTATGTAAAAGAAGATTTATATGAAAACAGGTTTCTAAGGCAGCTAGTTGCCTCCCATAATGAAACATTCATCATAAAACTCTTCACAGATTATTTGATCGATGACAATTAATCTGAATATTTAAAAAAATGAAACAAGAAAATTTAAAACCAACACAATATACACAATAGAAACCAATTCACAGTGTCCAAAGAGGGTCTCTTTCCTTAAATAATATATATTTATATATATTAGGTTTATATGATGTCTAGTTTGTGGATTTTTTTTAAAAATCTCCATTCCCCTTGCATTCACCACTAATAAGATTGGATTTATTTAATTCATGTGCAATATATCTACATATTTAATTAATGGAACTCATTCAGTTATATATCACAAAGTACAACTATTAAAATCTTTTGATTCACCCAAATATTTAAAAATAAAATATTTATGCCTCTTGGATCCACCACTTATGAGTTTAGATCATGACCACACATGACACATAATCTTAATGTTTAAAATCAATCAGCCATAGTCATTAATATCCTTGATACACCACAAATATTTCTTTAAAAAAATGAATATCCACTCCCCATGGATCCACCATTAAAAAGTAAGATCTTGATCAGACATGACATATAAGATTAAAGTTTGAAATAAATTAGCCATAATCATTATTATCCTCTTACCCACCACAAATATTTAAAAATAATATCCGCTCCCCTTAGATCCACCACTTTTAAATTAAGATCATGTTCACACATGACATATAAGCTAAATGTTTGAAATAAATTAGCCATAATCATAAATCATTAACATCCTTTGATCATTCACAAATATTTAAAAAAGATAAATATCCACCCCCCTTTGATCCACCACTTATGAGTTTTGATCTTGATCACACATGACATATAAGCTATATGTTTGAAATAAATTAACCATAATCATTATTATCCTTTGACCCATTACAAATATTCATCTACTCCCCTTACATCCACCACAACTCTCATGGCTATCAAAACAATTAATATCCACTTGCCTTGGATCCACCACTTCTTAGTTAAGATCATGATCACACACAGAAATATTAGCTAAGCGTTGAAATAAATTTGCAAAAATCATTAGTATCCTTTGATCCACCACAAGTATTTAAAAATTCAATATCAACTCCCCTTGGATCCACCACTCATAAATTTAGACTATGATAATACATGACTTATAAGCTAAATGTTTGAAATCAATTAGCCATAATCATAAAAAAAAAAAGATGAGACAAATAATTCATGTCGATATGTCTTAGGTAAATGTGAAAAGCAATAAACGAAGGAAAATATTACAACCTACAGTATTCCCTTAGATCCGCCATCATGTCTTTAGATATTGATCACCAATCTGATTAATTCTTCTTTTTTTATCATTAGGTTAGGTATCTTTATTATTTTTATGAATGAATGAATATTATGAAAAATGAAATTAATTGCATCTCTATGCTACTCTGTCTGAATAAAAAAAGCTGAAATAACCACTTAATATCAGCCAAAAAAGCAGGTACAATGAATATGATGAAATAAGACAACATATACATTGTATACACGTACTACGCCTTTACGGTACCTTATTTACTACTAGTAATTTTTTTTAAGTTTATTCCTGTCAACCAGCTCGACTGTTAAATCTACATTGGATAACGAATCAATTTAGGCTTTACATACATCATGTACATTATAATTATTAGTAATATATAATTGGAATTCATCGAAAATTCTTTGGTTTCTAATTAGAAAAAAAGAAGTTCTGAAATAAATAAAACTAAATTTTCATCCTGCAAGGTGCAGTCAGGCAATATTGATCTCATTCTGACAATATCACTTTTTTTCCATTGAAATAGATCTACATGTATGTCAAAGATGATATTTCTTTTTCTTATGATACTTAAACTTTCTAACTATAAACTAAATTATTGTAAGAAGACGTTTATTTTTACAGAAAGCATCTATATGCATTATCAGGTCAAGGTCAGTCAATCCCTTTTGATGAGTTCTTTTGATTTTTGTCCCCCACCTTAGCAAATATGAGAGGACATTAAATCTTATTCATCTGTCATCTGTTAAATGGTTGGCTTATCAATGTCACAAAAACTTAAACTTTGGTCATATCTTTTGAATGAGATGAGATAGGGCTTTCAACATGTTCAAATTACACATGTATTACCTGTGCAAATTATTCCTTTCTTAATACAGATTACACTATCATGATTTTTTACCATTATATCTTGACCTTGAAGTATGACATACTTTTCATAAATATTAATTCTTCCTTATGACTTTGATTTAGAAGAGATAGGGTTTTCATATGTCTGTTGCATGATATTTCTGAGCATGCTATGATTTCTGACCCCTTGACCTTTACCTTCATGTTTGACCTAATTAGAAAAAAAAAACTTTGGAGCTACAGTAACTCTTCAATGACATATGATACCTGGCATTCTTATTTGACAAAATCTGTTGTACATAAATTATAATAACATCTCACCCATAAGGACGCCAAAAGCAGGGGGCCACAATTCTTTGAATTTGCTTGTTTTTTTTTTCCATTCAATCAATCAATGGGTTAAATGAAATACAGACTTGAATTCTTGTATATACATAGAAAACATCTGTCATAATTATTAGGAAAAATCCTATGACTTCAGTTCAGATTTCATTTTCAAATTGGTTTGTAAAATAATGTACACAGTTACATGAATTGCAATTTTCTCACCCTTCAGTATTTAAATACATAGATATGAATGATATTCACATGATTCAGAAAAAAATATTAAAGATTCCATAATAAGGTATTTCCATACATATCGTATGATTGGTACTCTGTTTTCAAAGTGATAATTTTTGGTTCACTGTTTTTTAAAAGGAAAATAGAAATTTCACAGCTATATCACTGCAGTTGTTTAGATCCACCCTTGTGAGTACCCCATAAAAGTACATGCAGGGATTAATTATTGAACTAATTTGCACAGACCTAATGTTTTAGAATCCATAAATAAACTGAACTTGAACTTGATTAACCTTAGACAGGCACACTGTGACATACTCTACTGATACATGGGACACCCTGACAGATATTCCTCCTCCCTTGACTGTTGAGTAAGACTAACACAGAAAACGAATAAAAGTTATATTAATTTTTGACCATATATATTCCCCTAATATCTACCACATAGAGCTTGATTCCGTTTTGCAAGAAATAACCCCCAAATTCATAGCATGCTAATACTT